GATGGCGGCTCTGCTCTTGGAGTTACTGTCCCTTCTCCTTGTGACGCCTGTACTAGTGGGGAAGGGGAAGTGGAATGCTGTAATTATTTAGGAATATAATTTAGGAATAGTGGCAGGAGCCAGACCAAGTCTGTATTTTTCCTACAAAGGTCTGATGACTAATTTATAAATATCAAACAGGTTTTTAAAAATTGTATGAAAAAGTGATGGGGATAGTTTTTTTAAAGAAAATATGTAAAATATATTCCACTATTAACACACATTAACAGCAGCAACATGCCTGCTGACAGCTAGAAGTTCAGTGATGGCTGATTTTACCCAACTCCCAGCCTTACTCAGCTTCATCTCAAGGGAACACGGATGCTAAACAAGTAGTCCCAAACATGTGCGTATTTGTTTATGCAGCAGGTGCAGCCTAGTGGCTAAGGATGCGGGTCCTGGAGCCAGACTGCCCAGGGGTGAGCCTGTCCTGCTACTTCTGACCTGTGTGTTATAGGGCGTGTGACTTAACCTCTGTGCCTATGTCCTGATCTGTAGAATAGGAATCCTAATACATCTGTTGTCAGGAGTAAATAATCTATGTAGAATTTTTTTTTTTTTTTAGGAAAGTCTTTACTGAATTTGTTACCATATTGCTCCTGCTTTATGTGTTTTTTTTTGTGGCATGTTGGATCTTAGCTCCCCTGCCCAGGATCAAATGTGCACTTCCTGCCTCGGAGGGGGAGGTGTTAGCCACTGGACCGCCAAAGACATCCCTGTGTAGGCTTTTTAAAAAAAATTATTTGAAAAAATAAATAAATAAATAAATAATTTGACAGGTTTCAGTTGCAGCACACAGGATCTTCAGTCTTCATTGAAATCTTTTAGTTGCAGTATGCAGGATCTTTGGTTGCTATGAACTCTTTAATTGTGGCATTGGGGATCTAGTTCCCTGACCAGGGACCAAACCTGGGCCCCTTGCATTGGGAGAGTGGAGTCTTAGCCATTGGACCACCAGGGAAGGCCTCTGTGAAGACCTTTATTTTTTTAATGAGTTACTTTATTTTTGTCTGCTCTGGGTTTTCGTTGCTTTGTGCGGGCTTTCTCTAGTTGTGCCCCAGCGAGGCTACTCTAGTTGCAATGCGTGGGCTTCTTATTGCAGTGGCTTCTCTTGGGAAGCACAGGCCCTAGGGCATGCGGGCTTCAGTACTTGTGGTGCATCTGCTTAGTTGCTCTGCACCATGTGGGATCTTCCCAGAGCAGAGATCAAACCTGTGCTCCCTGCATTGCCAGGCAGATTCTTAACCACTGGACCACGAGGCAAGTCCTTACGTATAATGTTGCCTGACAGTAGTGTCAGCCGGGAAGTACAGACACCAGCACAGGGCACCCTAGAGATCAGTACAGGGCACTGAGGGACACCGAAGAAGCGGTTTTTCTATTGAAAGAGGAAGGACTTGCAGGAGTGAGACAGAAGGAGGGAAGAACTGGGAGAAGAGTGCGAAGCAGAGGGGTAACCACAGCAGTTGGTGCACCTGGTCACTTGGCAGAGGGGAAGGTTCTCCGTCCAGGCTCCTCTCCCTACACGGGTGCCCAGTTCTCCTGTGCTCTGTCGAGGGCGAGGGGCTTTCAGCACTTTTGAACAGGAGGTTGGCTGCAGGTGATGCCCTGGGGTGGCATGAAGAATTATCCTCTGATTTTCCACTATGTTCCCTGAGTGCCTGCAGCCTGAGTTACTCACTCTTTCCACATGCCCATCTTAGCTAGAATCCTGGACGTGAAACATTCTTAGCTTCATCCATAAGTGCCGACTGTTCCTTTGAATTTTTTTTCTTGCTTCAAAGTGGGCTGGCTAGGGGAGGAAATAATGGCTTCAAAATGAGAAATTGGAGAGGGAAATGCACAAGATCACTAACTTCAAGGCGTATCCCAGCACAAAAGGAAATTTCGGTGAGGATGGAATTGGCGTCGAGTACAAGGGGGGAAGTAAAGGAAGTGAGGCATGCCTAGTACATAAAGTATGAGGGATATATATACACACACACACAAAACATGTTACCCAGTTTGCACTTAAGGAAAATGGAAAGTAAGGGTTGGAGGACTTAAGGAGGAGAGTGGGATAATCAGACTCAAACGTTACAACATTACCCTGGCTGCTGTGTGACAAATGAACTGGAGGAAAATCCAAGTAGAAGCAGAACACTGTTAGGGACCAGTGTAGACCAGAGGTCAGTGGTGATCTCGACCAGGGTCTAAGCTAAGTTAAGACTATTTTGCATTTCTCTAATTGAAGAATTCCAACAATACAGGTGGCCTATGGATGAGGATAGTGTTCAGGATCAAGAGAAACCTGAAGAGAGTCCCTGAAATCTACAATAGCTTGAGGGTTTTGGTGAAGAAGAGGGGCCAGTCCCTCCTGGCGAAGGTGACAGGCATGACTTCATGAGTCATTCGTTTGTGACTCAACTCTGATGTCGTCTGTTCTTTCCAAACCTTCCCTTTGGGTTTCTCCCCAAAATTATTTCTGCCTAGTGTGCCTAAATTTTAAGAGCCACAAACTTGTTTTTGGAATAACAACAGTAAGTAGGTGTTGCTGGCATCGGCCATCTTTCCAATTAGCCAGCAGCCTCTGGTTTACCAGCAAGAAAAACAGGAAGGTAAGGAGCCCTCTGGCAAACTGAGTAGGGTTCGTGGCCTGTGGAGACATTCCAGCTGCTCATGTTCGAGCAGTGTCAACTCTGAAATGGGATAGTACTATCAGGTGATGACTAGTCTATGGAATAATACATAAATCTTCACCAGCACCAGCAACGAAAACATGCTGCTGTTTTTTGTACTCAGAAATGATGTCTTAGTAACATGGACATGTCATAATTAAGTTCCATTAGGCATCAATAAAGAATACATTTTTAAAAAAATACATAAAGAATATATTAACAATTCATTAGTTCTTATGCAGACAGTCATCAAACACTCCAAAAAATCAGTAAAATCTATTGTTTATGGATAATGAGCATATCCAGAATTTTCCTTTTTTCTTTTTTTCATATCCAGAATTTTCCACTGGGCCAGAATCTTTTTCAAGCAAGTTTCTCTGTTCTAGGGCACAGTTTATCATTCAATACATAGGAACTTACTAAAAACAGCAAAAGACACTCTGGGGGCTGAAGCTCATTAAGGGCTCAATATATTTTTACATCATTGGTGTCTCAAAATGGCACAAGGTCACAGAGGCAGCTGTGGCCCATTACCCCCCTGAACCCAGGCACTAGCAGGAATGAGTATGGATGGCAGTGACACTGGGGGGACCATCTAGAGCTATCCATAAAGTCTTACCTTTTAAAAAGACACATACTCTTTTGAGAGTTTTTCTCCAAGAAAACACATTTAAACAAAATACAGCATAAACTCCATGGAACCCATCCAGTGCGTTTTTAGGGGTCCAAATCCCCAGATAAGGAACTGTTGACCTAGATTTCTCTCAGATACCCATGTATTCCTATTGTTGGAGAGTCTGAAGCACATCCCTTCCCATTTCCTGCTCAGATTTGGGGCTACTCAGGTCATCTGTGTTGTGAGAAGGTGGGGTGTACTCAGCTTGCAGCCTCAGGAGGAGTCTGTACTCCTTTAATTATTGCCTTTAAGTTATTTCAGGGTTGGTCTGCAGGACCTTGTGTAAAATTTCTTCTCTTCTTAACAAGACTCCCAAGGTGACTCAAAGTTGGCTGGAAGTACACGGACTCAACACAGTCAAGTGCCTATAGGGGAACATGGCAAGACTGGTGGTCTGTGGTTCTCTTTGCAGTATCTGTAAGGTCAGATTAAAGAAACTACCTGGAGGCTGGCATTGGCCCTTTCCCTTCCCAGGAGACAAATCTGGCCCTAAAACACAGAAATGCCTATAAGAAAGGCCTGGGATTCAAATAGTTCTCATCATGGAAAATCTCTCTTACAGGCCTGATTCTAGACAACGTGGCCCTTCTGTCAAAGAGCTGGAGAGGACTCCTCTGGGCTGGGGTTTCATATGCTCTTGCACCTCAGTTTCATGTCATCTTTGCTCCGTCACCCTGGGCACCAACAGCTTTGGTTGGGTATGAGGAGGTGTCCATTCCTATTCTTTACTCTGACTTCGTGGTGCTGAGTGAGGATGGAGCAGAGGCCTTGGAGAGAGAAATGGATGAGTCCACCGTGTCTCTTAGTTGCTCCTGTTTGTGTCCCAAGCACCATGGACGCAAACACTCAGAATTCCTTTATAATCAAGATGGCGAATTTCTGAAACCATTCCCCATCTCTGATTTAAACAAACAAACTTGCTTTCTGCAAGGCCAAGCATTTGTGACTATTGCTGGTCACTTTTGGAGCTGCCTTAAGCCTGGCCATTAGCAACTTGAAACACAGTGTTCACTGTTTCTCCAAAACAGATTACCTTTTATTTGCTTGGAGCTGCTAAGAGGTCATGGTGATATTAGGGGTGTAAAAAAGATGCTGCAAAGTCAGGCTGTGTGGCAAGCTATGACTACCACTAATTCTCCATGGTGGCTCCTCCAGAGGACTGTGCAAGCACAGGCAAGGGATCCGCCAGTTCTCAGATGTGCACTCTACACAGATCACACCTGCTGAGGACAGGCCATGGTCTGCAGCAGACTTGTGTACACCAAAGATGCCAGGTTTGCATTTTGGGTCAACTTAGCAAATCCCTTCCTGCTGTAGCCATCAGACAGAAGGGGTTTAAAACACTCGAAGGAGCTGTCCCACCCAAGTTCAAAGCAGCAGCTTACAGGTCTCCTCTGCTGCCTCACACCACACCCCAAGCATGACGACTGGCTCACAACCTAACCTACTTGGTCTCTCGCTGTTCGCTCTTCACCTCAACTCTGTCAGGCTTCTATAAGGGCTGGAGGCTGTCCTGAACACCAAGCAGACAACAGGCTGGGCTGCCACTGAGACTCCTCAGCAAACAGCCAGCCACAACATCTGGACTATGGTTATGATGGGGAAAACACTGGCCAAAAAACAGACAGAATTTCCAAAAGGTAAATTTCTGTGTATTCACGCCTAATCTTCAAAAGTTGTGTAAACAATTTTTTTTTCTACCTTCCCCCATCATTTGCACAATTTTTGTCAAGTCCAAACGTAATTTCAGATGAGGTAGGCAGTTTGTCTACTCCTGCTGTCATCCTCGCGGGAACAGTCAGGCTGCGCCGTGGAAGCACTCGTGTCCGGGGCGGGGGCGGCGCAGACTGCAGGGGCTTCTCAGTTGGCTATTTTCTCAATCTCGTCCAAGTCGTCCGTGTCCAGTCTTTCTATTTTCTTATCTGAGGGAAGAGAAAGGCGGGTTCAGAGAGAGCCCCGCACAGATCGCAGGGCACGCAGGAGGGGAGGGGCTCCCTCGGACGTGCCCGTCCCCCGCCGCAGGCCTCCCAGCGCCCCCGAGGTGGCAGCCCGGCCGAGCGCTCCGGGTGCACAGAGACCATCCTGTCCTGGGGAGGGCGAGGGCCGGGACAGGGACAGGGCCCCTCCCGGGACTCACTGAAATGCTCCTGGATTCTATTCAGGATGTTCATGCTGTGCTTGCTGTCCACCATGTTCACGGCCAGGCCCCGCTTGCCAAAGCGGCCGGTGCGCCCGATCCGGTGCAGGTAGGTCTCGTTGTCCGGGTTCCCGTCCTTGTCCACGGGGAGGTCAAAGTTGATGACGACAGACACCTGTTCCACATCGATCCCTGCGTGCGGGAGAGTTGGACACGAGTGAGCGCGGGAGACAGAAATCGCCGCTGCCCGGTCAGGCCCACCCTCACCCAGCTCAGGCGGAAGGCAGGGTCTGGGACAGGCCAGCTCTGGGGTTGGGACACGGGCAGGTGGCAGAACCCAGAGGGAGAGGACGGGACCGTCCCGGTGCTGGCCAAATTCCGGCATCAGCCAGAGAGCCTCTGCTGGATCCCAGGATCTGGAGAAGGAGCTGACGCCGCACTGGGGCCAAGAAGAGCAGGCGCCGTCCTCGGCCACCAGCCAGCACTCCCGGCTTCTGTGGACAGTCTCCTCAGCTGAGGAGCCCCACAGGCTCGCCCACAAAACAGCATCTCCCCCAAACCACCGCAGCCTCCCACACACGAAGCTCTCCCTGCCGCCCCGAGCCTGGCGGGCCAGGACCCGGTCTCCGCTCACCGCGGGCACACACGTTGGTGGTGACCAGAACCTTCTCTTTGCCCTCCCGGAAGCGCTCAATCACCGCAGCCCTCTGCTCCACCACCATCTCCCCACTCAGCAGGGCCACCTGGTGGCCTTCTTTCGAGAGCTCTGCGGCCAGCCAGCTAGCTGTTTTGCGGGTCTGGAGTGAAAAGAATTGTTTTAAATGAAGACACCTGTAAAAAAAAATGACACCTGCAGAAAAGTGGGTTTTTTTGCTGTTAACACACACGAACGCTCTACTGAGTTCAGTCAGCAAGATGGGCTTAAAGTTTCTGAATATTTTTTAGCCACATGATTTTGGGGGGATAAATTACATCAGTGATCTCAGTGTTGTTGTGGTTTGAGCCAAAGGTCTTCATTCTGAAATAATCTACATTCTTAATGCTTCAAAATTATTTACTTGGAAGTTATTTGGAATTTTTTCCCCCCAAGTAATCTCTGAGAAGTAGGGATCGGAGAAGGTTTAGCTCTTCAGTCTTCCCCTTACAACTCATTACAGCCTGAGAGACTATGTCCTGGGACCGATTTATCTCCTTTGCAGCCACAGGCAGTTAACACGGTCCCCAGCGCTAAGTGCAGCTGGCTGAGTGGGAGGAGCGGGGCCACGTCCTCCGGGGGCCCCCACCCCCACGGGACACCGCCGCTGCCTGCTGCTGCTGCTCACGTGGCAGAAGATCATGGCTTGAGCAATGGTGATGGCCCCGTAGATATTACACAAGGCCTGGAACTTCTCGTCTCTGCTGTTGCACAGGACGTAATACTGCTTGATGGTGTCCAGTGTCTCCTCCTCACGCTTCAGTTTGATGATGTTCGGGTCGGGGACCACTTTCTGGGCAAATTTCCAGACAGAGTCTTCAAAGGTGGCAGAGAAAAGCAGCATCTGGCAGTTCCTGGGCAGCATCCTGCAAGGGGAGGCCCAGCTGTCCGGCATGACCCTGACCCGGGCTTTCCCTGGAAGGACCGGGGCACAGCCTCCCCAGGCCTGATGACCTGCATCCCCAGGAAGGGGCAGCGGGGAGCAGCTTTGGGGAGGAAGGGGGAGCAGCCGCGGGGCAGGGATGGGTGACCAAGAGTCTCTGGGTCTCCCTCCTTAACCCGGGCGGAGGGCGCGCTCAGTGCTGACACAGAAATGGCCCATCAAACAAGTGCCCCTGAAAGCTTCGAGGAGCCTGGCAGGGGCGAGAAGGGGAGTGTGCGGTGACAGGAGCAGGAGCTGCAGGTCGGGAGCCCAAAGTCCCTCCCGCTCTGGGCCTACCTCTGGATGCGGATGCTCTGGTCTTGGTGGCCCTGGGTGGCTATCATCACGTCGGCCTCGTCGAGGACGAACACCTTGATCTTCTTGGGGTCGATGAACCTGAGCTTGGAGCACCAGTCCAGAACGGTCCCCGGGGTGCCAATGACAATGTGCTCACTGACTTTCTGACCTCTTTCCACTGTGGAGACAAGATGTGTTCTGCTTCATGGGCATTTCCATGGCAAAGCCAGCTTCATTCTCCAAGCAATTTTAAAGCTATGATGTATTTAAAGCAATTGTTTTGATGTTTGCATTAATATTTTAAGGCAAGGTCAGGATAGCACTATAGTATTTAATGGACATACACACAAAAAACAGACAGTACCGCTGAAAAGATTTCGTAAAGGCATGAACCATGAGATGAAAACCTCTTCAGTAGTATTTTTACATTCTCCATAATCATCAACCTCTTTCAAGGGTTTCATATCTGTATTTCTTCTCTGTCAGCATTATTCTGCCTAGCCTGGGTTTGCTTTTCCCCACAAGTAGACTTTTTCTAAGTTAGTTTGTTGTGAAACAAGCAAAAGTAGAAAGAGTGGATAAAGAAAAAATAATACAAATATCTCCCAGAGTTAATTGCCATGAACATTCTAGAACATTTTTACTCTAATAATGACATTTTAAAAATTAGGCTATTAAATCCAGAATTTGTAACATTTTATAAACAACTGGTCTGCTCAAAATGTCAAATATAACATAGTTTGGGTGGGTGTGGGTGGGGATGTGAAGGGACTATTCTAGCCTTTAAGAAACTAAAGAGATACAACAACCAAATGTAATGCATATATACTGACTCAGTCTTGGTTCAACAAAAAAACCATAAAAAAACACTTCTGGAGCAATTAGGGAGGAAATTAAAATGGAAAAGATGCTAGTTATCAGAGAATCTGTAATTTTGTTGGTTGTAATATGGTATTGTGGGTATGCTGAAGAATGCTCTTACTATGAAATGCATACTAAATTACTTTGAAATAAAAAGTCACAATGTCTGCAGTTTTCCTTCCTTTTAAAAATATTTGGCTGCATTTGGTCTTGGTTGTGGCACACAGGATCTTTTTGATTGTGGCATGTGGGACCTTTTTTTTCTTTAAGCTGTGGCATGTGGCATATTCAGTTGTGGCATGCAGACTTAGTTGCGGTTTGTGGGATCTAGTTCCCTAACCAGGGACTGAACCTAGGCGTCCTGTTTTGGGAGCTCAGAGTCTTAGCCACTGGATCACCAGGGAAGTCCCCTGCAATTTACCTTCAAATGATTCACCACCACTGCCCCTCCCCCCAAGATATACATAATACACATAAAGCAAATACGGCAAAATGTTAACTTTTCGAATCTAGGTGGAAGGCACATGTCTTTATTTTAAATTTCAACTACTGCATACGTTTTGGGATTTTTCAAAATAAAAAGTTATTACCTTAATTAACTAGGATCAGATATTCATACTCACACTTATTGCCACGAACAGCATAAGCTAGCTTCAGTTCAGGGTAAAATTTGCCCATCTGCTCAATCACTTTTCCCGTTTGAAGGGCAAGCTCATATGTTGGGGAGAGGCACAGACACTGGTAGGGAAATAGAGCAGAGAGAATTCAAGACACTCACTGTTATGCAATGGGGAATTACTATTAGGACTTAATGATCCCTCCAGCGGAGGCTGAAGGGAAGAATATACAGAGTGCACACCATTTGACTGTTTAAGCTGCAAAGTCAGAAGTACAATTCTCAGGGGTCAGAACTCTGGCTGGGTAGACACTTGAGAACAGCTATTTGGCCATTAGAGTACCAAAAACCACATGTGAGCAGGGATCTGAAATTCCAGCTGGAGATTAGCTTCCTTTTCTCTTACTCAGAAGGTTCTCAGAACTTCCTAATGGATTATAAGAGATGAAGGAGCTTTTTCCTACAGCTAAAGGAGCCTAGCCTGTAAGCACTGTCCCAGGACTGGCATGTCACTGAAAGGGAAAAAGGATTCTTGATGTTATTGGAAGATCAACCATGTTATTTGTGCTCAACTTAAAGGGTTCTAGTTGATGTAAAAAGTAATACATAGCTCATCTTTTAATTCACCAAATGCCATTTCCCTTTTAGTTATGAGTTAGAAAACTCAGCTTCACCAAGCCCTTACCTGGGGGTGTCTGTTGGCTGGTTCTACTTGGCTGAGCATGGCCAACACAAAGGCAGCTGTTTTACCAGTACCAGACTGAGACTGGGCAATTAAGTTCTGTGGGCTGCACAAGAAAACAAACTGTTTAGGAGTTTAAATCTCATGTATTCTTTCAGTGAATAAAAATGAAGAATAAAGTGTAATTAAATAATGAGTATCTCAGCTTGCTTGACAGGAGGAGGCTTTGGCTTCTGCAGTAGAGTTACATATGCTAGCTTCACAGATAGAAGATTTTATGGTGGGATTTGAAGCACTTCTTATCTTTTATCTACTCTTGACATAGCAGTGAGTGATTCTTCTTTTCTGCTCAAAAACCTCCCAGGCACTCCAGATTTCATTCAGAGTAGAAGTTAAAATTCTTACAGTGCCCTACAAGGTCCCACCTGATGAGGCTCTCCGCTAGCTCTCCGTTCTCACCCGCTACCAGCTGCCTTACTCCACTCCACCACTGCAGCTGCCCCAGAGCTGCTCAGAACACACCAGCCATGCTCTCGTCCTTGGGTTTCTGCAGCAGCCAGACACTGCCTGGGACAGCTCTCCGTGGGTGACAGCACACCAACTCTCTCCTCCCCTTCAAGTGTCTGCTCAGATACTACCTATTTAATGAGAGTCCACCCTACTACGTGATTTAAAGTTGCAACTTACTTTGAAGTGCCTTAAAAAACAAGAGGTACTGGTAGACCAATACATGATGAAACATAGGAAACTGTCAGTGAAAGAATCTGGGAGGTGCATATATAGGTGTTCACTATAAAACCCTTTCAACTTTGTTGTATGTCTGAAAACTTCCATAATAAAACATTGGGGGTAAAACTGCAATCTTGGTCTTCCCAATCCCCCTCCTATCATGCTCTATTTATTATTCTCCTTAGCACTTACTGCCTTTTTAAAAAAGAGCTTTATTGAGATGTAATTCATGTACCATGCAGTTCATCCATTTAAAGTATATAAGTCAATCTTTTTGGTATATGACTTTAATAATTTTTTTTAAATTGTGGTAAAATACATAACAAAATTTGCCATTTTTAAGTATACAATTCAGTGGCATTAACTGTATTTACAATCTATCACCTTTAAACATACTATATATTTATTTTTAATAAAAATAAATCTATACTCCAAACTAGAATGTAAGTTCCTTGTGGGCAAGAATTTTCATCTGCTTTATTCACTAATGTATCTAAGTGCCTAGTACAGTATGTGTCACAAACCAAGTCCTCACTAAGTAAGTTAATGAAGGGCAAGTATTAGAAAATTCTCAGAGCTCTTCTAACATTGATAGTCTAACAGTGAGCATCTATGAAAGCATCAAGATCCATAAATACAAGTGGCAATTAGAAACAATATAATAAATATTCCATTTATTCATGTATAAGTATGCTCAAAATGTCATTTGAAAAAAAGACATTAACCATCTTGAAAAAATATCACTATTGTGACACAGGACATAAAAAACTTTGAGAAAATACAGACCTACAATATCTGTTTTCAGACAAATAGGGAAAGGGGTTTTCAGGATTTAGGATTTTATGCAATTTTATATAATCATATGTAATGTAGGGATCAATTTTTATAAAGAGTTCCTTATGTTCTAGAACCCTGTTACTCAAAGTGTGGTCTGACTCCAGCACCACCAGCAACACTGGCAAGCGTCTTAGAAATGGTGAGCCTCAGTCCCCACCTCAGACTCACTGAAACCAGAATCTGCATTTTAATAAAGTCCCACGAGTTTCACATGCCTCTAAAAGTGTGAGCAGCACTGCCCCAGAAAACAACATTAGCAACAGTACTGTTCTGATCGCCTCAATCCCTGTTTAGTTTTTGTCATCTACATTTGACACATACATTTTACTTACTCATATAATGAAATCATGGTGTATATAAGTGTATATATATTTAGCAACATAGAAATATTATCATGAAATTATCAAAAAAAGCATTAAACCATTTTATATGTTTCCTTTAAGCAAAAAGTGTACAAATCCAAGTTTACAAAGAAAAACATCTAGAAGTCTCTACTCCAAATGTTAATAGTGTGGAGGGGAGGGAAATAACAAATTTTTTCTTTTTTCTTATTTTTCATTGTTTTCTAACTTTTCTAAAATGAACATGTATATATATATTTTTAATAATGAAAGTTAAAGAGGTGCATCAGGACACATACGGCTCAGCAAGCATTAAAGGCAGCGCATTCTCTTGTATCTTGGATGGACGATTGAAGCCCATGGCATAGACTCCTTGGAGAAGCTGTGGTTTCCTAGAAAAACAGTTCAGAATGAAAACCACAGTCTCTGGTTGAAGAAAGAAGCCAAGAATATAGCTAACAATACTAAAACTGTGAATAGGGTATGATACATGTGTGTAGCTAAAGCTTTTACAAATTACCAAGAAATTTTACTTACTAACCCAAAGCAGCTAAATTCTTTTATTAAACTTGTATTAGCTAAAAATGTTCTGTAGTGATGAAAAAATACATGTTAACAGGCCTAGAATTTCTAGTTAAACACAAAGGGGAGAGTCAGAAAGTAACTACTCACAGCCGAAGCTCCTCGAAGGACTTGACTGAGTAGAGCGGGGAGCTGGGATCCCGCTGCAGGACTTCCACTTGATTGGTGTTATCGACAAGGTTGCTTCTGATCAGCTTGTTGAGTAAGGACTGGGCAGCTCTGTCCTCTGTAGGAAAAAAGCATGAAGATTTTTAGGCGTCCATGAAATCCAGCATGATCTCTGAATTCAGCTGCCAATAGAATTTTAAGCAATAACACGTATTTGTACTGGGACTCCTAATTCAAGGTAGAGTTTAGTTCTGATTTATAAATATAATTAAAATATTTATTAAAAGCAAAGTTTATGATACTCAAATCATCTGTTGGGGCCTCATATTCTTCTCCAGAACTCTATTCCTAACAACTATCCTTTCTTGAAGTTACTGATTTATCCTCTCAAAACCCAAATATTTACTCTCCAATATGTACCCAATATAAATTTTAAAATGATGAGTTTAAAAACCCCATCACACACTGTGGGAAAGAAACTGTCACACAACTCAACACCTCTTTCTCAGCACAACAGAAAGTGGGCATGTGTGTGACAAACACAAGAACCAGCACTTGTTGCCAAGTCTTCCATCTTATTAGACGTGAAACCCTGGGATGATGAGACCAATATGGCAAAACTAGAGGAGTGCGTCAGAAGCATTCAAGCAGACGGCTTGGTCTGGGGCTCTTCTGAACTAGTTCCGGTTGGGTATGGCATTAAAAAACTTCAAATACAGTGTGTAGTTGAAGACGACAAAGTTGGGATAGACATGCTGGAGGAGCAGATCACTGCTTTCGATGAGTATGTACAGTCTATGGATGTGGCTGCATTCAACAAGATCTAAAATCTATCATGGATCAGTGCCCTTAAATAAAAGTTTGAAAGACAAAAAAAAAAAAAAACCCCATCACAATATTGGGGGAAGAAAACAAATTGACAAAGTCTGTATCTTGATATCGGATAAGCTGTTTGCATCTTGTTATTTATGTTAAACTGTCAAAATATCATCAAATATAATTTTATTAGAAAATGGAGATGCAAGTTAAAATTTCTTTTATAAAGACCTGTACAAGGTAATCATTTAAGGAATATTTCCTGCTGCTGCTGAAGTTTATCATCTGTTCGAAGTAAAATCTCTCTAAAATGTAAAGAATTAGAATCCCTTTAGAAAGTGAAGTCACTCAGTTGTGTCCGACTCTTTGCGACCTCATGGACTGTAGCCTACCAGGTTCCTCCGTCCATGGGATTCTCCAGGCAAGAATACTGCAGTGGGTTGCCACTTCCTTCTCCAGATCTTCCCAGCCCCGGCAGTGAACTCTGGGCTCCCGCTATAATGCGGCAGACGCTTTACCATCTGAGTCACTAGGGAAGTCCACTGGCATCGGTATAAACCTCCTGGAACCCCTTTACCAATGACTATATTACATTTTCACTAGCACTGTGGTGGTGGGTGGTTTAGTTGCTAAGTCGTGTCTGACTTTGTGACCCCATGGACTGTAGCACGCCAGGCTCCTCTGTCCATGGGATTCTTCAGGCAAGAATACTGGAGTGGGTTGCCATTTCCTTCTCCTGGGGATCTTCCCGATCCAAGAATAGAGCCTGGGTCCTGCATTGCAGGCAGATTCTTTACCGACTGAATTAGGAGAAGACACTAGCACTAACTTCCATTTAAACTACAGCCAAGTCACAGTGCAAAAATGAAACCTCCTAACATTCCATTCTCTTAGACTGGAGAACTCCACGTATACATAACTCTAGGCTAGGTTACCTTTCTCTTCTTCTTCAGCCTTCTCTGCATTAGCATTGGTCTTGACAACAGCACCTTTATCAGACACAAAGCGGCCATCATTCAAAATCACATCCCATACCCAACAGCTGAGACAGTTCAAATTCTATGAGACACTAGAAATGTAAAGGCCTAGGGAGCAAAAAAACAAATGAGGAAACCAAGCCACAGATGAAAACATTTTATTGTTACTATATAATCAAAGGTATGAAAACTGATGCTTACTTTTCAGTTCTTTCCTATTCCAAGTCTTCTCACTGTACCTCAGAAACTATTAATCCCTCACAGCATCAACATTTCTCAAATGTTATAGAAAGATGATTACATGACCTCGATGCTCAACAGAGAAATACCTATGCAAATCATATTTCATCAATATATAAACACCACAATGCCATTAAGAGTCTATGTGTATAAATGGTTGATTAATAGAAATGTATATTCAGTGTTGTAGTTATATAAAGGTATACAGAAAAAGATCTGAGTAAGGTAAATGTTACAGTTTCTCCCTTACAACTTTAAATACATGAACAAAAATTCAATGGACATCTTAGATTTTGTAGATATGATTTCAGAATAATCACAACAGGTTAGCCCTCAGGTTGCTCATACTTTGTCTATTTCATCTCAAATTCAGGAATATTTAAAAAAATAATCATTGGCAGTATATTTTCATGGTTAGTGATACATTTAATAATTTATAAGCCAGTTAGGTATCCTCATATTTATATGAAGCATAACAAAACAATCCAGTTTGTAGATTCCCAAATCAAATAACTGCCAGTATCTGCCTGCCTCCTGTCTGGTACATATATAATTTTTTTTTCCCCAGCTATTATATTAAAACAAATACTAAAGGAAATCATTTTTTTTTTCAAAATAGCATTGAGTTACTCACCATTGGCATCTGGTTTGATTTTCTCTTCCTTAAGATGCAAGTTGCTCAACTAAATGGAGAATATGGGGGGACAAGTGTCAGGAAAATAACTTAAAAGATTTTGCATCAATAGTGACTCCCCCAGTGAAGCTGGGAAGAAATGAACCACTCTCATGACCTACTATTCTTAGGGCATATTCATTAGGCTGTTCTGCTGGGCTCCTTTTGTTTACTGAACGTCAGAGTGAGAATAAACAAGATATCCCACAAGTACAGCAGCACTGAAGCCAAAGCTCCTGTATTTCGGTCACCTGATGCAGAGAGCCGCTGGAAAAGACCCTGATGCTGGCAAAGATCAAGGGCACGAGGAAAAGCGGGGGACAGAGGATGAGACGGTTGGACAGCATCACCAATACAACGGACATGAATCTGAGTAAACTCTGGGAGGCAGTGAAGGGCAGGGAAGCTTGGTGTGCTATAGTCCATGGGGTTTCAGAGCTGGACACGAGTTAGCAACAGCAGGAGAAAAAACTGGTTACACAACAGCTCAAAATCCACACTTCCTAACTGCAATCCCTAGAAATAATTATAATTTGTGAGTTTGCTTAATGCACTGATTACACACCTTCTCACAGTCTCTCAATAGAATACCATGTGAGTTGTCACTCTCATTTTTCAAACGAGAAAATTTAAAAAGATACTGGGAAATGCAGTCACTCTTCAAACAGAGAACGCTGAGGTGGGAGGTCTGTGAGGAAAAGCATCTGTGAGCGCAGATCAGTTATGCCACAGGCTGTGTTCAGGCCCCAGGGCCGCAGCACGCCACGGCGGCGCAGCCTCTCATTCAGGTTGCCCTGTGCTGGACGTCTGGTATTTAAATTGGTAACAACCTAGAGCACAGTGGTACACTGTGCAATCAAGATACAGAAGAGGATGAAGTAGAAGAGGAGGGAGGGGACAGAGGAAAGACATCGTAAACAAAGACTGAGTAGGACTTTGGTCAGACACTGTTAGGGATACCCTAGAAGGACTTATCTCCCCTATTATTATAAAAATTTGTCATGCAACTTATGGGAACTCCTTTGTACTCTTGCATGCGCAAGCTAGAAGTATGTGGCAGTAGGAGCATATAAGTACCTCCCTACTTTTTTTCCACAACCGAACAGGGAGTTCCTTGACATACTGCTTAAGCTTCTCAGATGATCACTGAGGGATTAAGCTGTTTTCCATAATAGTGAACAACTATATACTTGTGTTGGCTCTCTTTCTTTTCTTCCTTGTTTCATTCTCCTATTGCTGTCTTCTGTTACTTGTGATCATATTCCCAAATAAATTGCTCACACAGACACCTTTGTGTTAGATCTGTTGTTGGGGGAAACCAGAGCTGAGAGAGGCCCTGTCAAACTTGTTTCTTTTACTTAAATTATCAGTAAGGTGTTGGGATTTAATTAGGGGATGTTTCCTCTAAATTGGAACCAAGAATNAAGGAACTTGACTTCTATTGATGGAAACTATAAAGGAGTTTCTGTTGTCTGTCTGTCTACTTTGGTGTTGGGGTGGAGGGAAGAGGAAGAAGGGGGAAAGACACTGGAGAGGCTGGCAAGAAGGGAAACTGGCAAATAAGGAAAGCACTATAAAGCAGTGACAGCCCTTCATTATTTCTGAAGGACACAGAGCACACTAATAGATAATGAGGAGGCCAGCACAGTATGTGATATATAAAATCAAAGTCACTCAGTCGTGTCTGACTTTTTGTGACCCCATGGACTGTAGTCTGCCAGTCTTCTTTGTGACCCCGTGGACTGTAGCCCACCAGGCTCCTCTGTCCAAGAAATTCTCCAGGCAAGAATACTGGAGTGGGTTGCCATTTCCTTCTCCAGGGGATCTTCCTGACCCAGGGATCGAACCCGGGTCTCCCGCATTCTGGGCAGATGCTTTACCATCTGAGGCTTAACATATTCTAGTCATCACTGAAGTACTCTTCCACATCCTGCCAATGAACCTAGTTTAAGCCTAATATTCAAGGCTGTTAAAAAACAAAAAAGAAAAACAGATGGACTTACTGGCAATATTTACAAGAGCAGGGTTAATAGTACTCACTCCTAGGATGATAACTGCTACCTAAAATAAGTGACAGGGTTGATGTATAAGTTAGAAATATCCTTTACTGTAATAGTCAATGATGAAAGGACAACCTATTATTTTGTTGGTATATTGTTANTACAGCATCCTAAACTATACTATTCAAAATTATATTGTTTTTGAAAATATATATTGGTCACCATACTGAAATCTGTGTAGAATAACATTTTATTTTGCTTATTCATTTTTGAAATATCATATTTATGTTGGTGGTTAAATTTTAGGAGGCTTCAAAAATAGTTTAAGGTCATTATACATTTTCTAATTTTATTAAAAGATATAAAGGATTTCAAAGTTTAGGGCTGAAAACCAACCATTTACCTTGAATATCTCAGTTTATTGGTTGGAAAGTTTTCTGGCTGTTTTAGAAACTTGAAACATTATGGAATCCAGAAAAAACCAGTCAGTTTAGCTGCTCAGTCATGTCTGACTCTTTGTGACCCCATGGATTGCAGCACGCCAGGCTTCCCTGTCCATCACCAACTCCCAGAGCTTGCTCAGACTCATGTCCATCAAGTCGGTGATGCCATCCAACCATCTCATTCGCTGCCATCCCCTTATCCTCTTGCATCAATCTTCTTCAGCATCAGGGTCTTTTCCAATAAGTCAGTTCTTTGCATCAGGTGGTCAAAGTATTGGAGTTTCAACTTCAACATCAGTCATTCCAAAGAACACCCAGGACTGATCTCCTTTAGGATTTATTGGTTTGAGCTCCTTGCAGTCCAAGGGACTCTCAAGAATCTTCTCCAACACCACAGTTCAAAAGCATCAGTTCTTCAGTGCTCAGCCTTCTTTATGGTCTAATTCTCATACCATACATGGCTACTGGAAAAACCATAGCTTTTACTAGACGGACTTTTGTCAGCAAAGTAGTCTCTGCTTTTTAATGTGCTGACTAGGTTGGTCATAGCTTTTCTTCCAAGGAGCAAGTGTCTTTTAATTTCATGGCTGCAGTCACCATCTGTGGTGATTTTGGAGCCTAGGAAAATAAAGTCTTTCACTGTTTCCATTGTTTCCCCTTCTATTTACCAACTAGTGATGGGACCAGATGCCATGATCTTAGTTTTCTGAATTTTGAGTTTTAAGCCAACATTTTCACTCTCCTCTTTCACTTTTATCAAGAGGCTCTTTAGTTCTTCTTCGCTTTCTGCCATAAGGGTGGTGTCATCTGCATATCTGAGGTTATGGATATTTCTCCTGAAAGTCTTGATTCCAGCTTGTGCTTCACCAGCCTGGCATTTCTCATGATGCACTCTGGATATACGTTAACTAAGCACGGTGACAACATACAGCCTTGACATACTCCTTTCCCGATGTGGAACCAGTCTGTTGTTTTGATAGTTTATGTTTAAGTTAAATATTAAAATTATTGGGAGTATTAGATATTTGATAATCTAAGCACTGAGATAAGTGTTTTACATGCAGTTGACTCATGAGATTTGTTATTATTAATCCCTTTTAAATATGAAATAAGAAAGTTCAGTAGCTTGCCAAAAGTCATGTAACTAATAAGTGAGGGACCCAGAATACAAATCCAAGTCTGTCTGGTTACAAAGTCTTAGGTCTTAACTTCTACACAATAGAGCCTCTCATAGATGATACTAATCTCAAAATAATAATAATAATAATAATAATAATAAAGATGATACAATGATGCAGTCACTTTGGAAAACAGTATAGCAGTTCTTCAAAACTTAAACACAGAGTTACTATATAATCCAGCAATACCACTTTTAGATAGATACCCAAGTGAATTGAAAATGTATGTTCATACAAAAACTTGTACATGATGATCGTACCAACATTATTCATAATAGCTAAAAAGTAGAAAGAATTCAAATGCCCATCAGTGGACCCTGATGAATAGATAAATAAAATGTGGCATATCTATATATCATCATTTGGCAACAAAAATTAATTAAGTATTGATATATGCCACAACATGGATGAACCCTGAAAATGTGCTAGGTGAAAGAAGCCAGCCACAGAAGAGCACATATGATAGGATTCCATTTATATTCAATGTCCTGAATAGGAAAATCTAAAGAGACAGAAAACAGATTAGTGGCTACAAAGGGCTGGGCCAAGGAGAAATAGGGGGTTTGGGATGATGAAAATGTTCTAAAATTGACTGTGGTAATGTTGATCCAATCTTCCTACTACATAAAAAATCAACTAAAATTGGATCATAGGCATAAATGTGACATTTAAAGCCATAAATCTTCTAAAAGAAAATACAGGTGAAAAACTTTGTGGACTTGGGTAAGGTATATTTCTTAGAACACAAAAAGAACTAATCATCAAAAAATTGACAAATTAGAATTAGCCAAAATTGAAAGTGTCTGTTCTTCAAAAAGTACTATTAAGAAAATTAAAATGTTAAGTTTCAGTCAGGGAGAATATTTATGCAAATGACATATTTGATAAAGGACTTGCATCCAGAATACATCATGAATTCTCCCAACTCAATAATAAGAAAACAATGAATTTTTTTAATCATCAATCAGTTTTTTTTTAATTGGCAAAAGATTTGAAAAGCCACTTCAAGAAGTTATACAGGTGGCAAAGCACATAAAAAGACACTCAACATCATTAGTCATTCAGTTCAGTTCAGTCACTCAGCTGTGTCTGACTCTTTGCGACCCCATGGACTGCAGCACGCCAGGCTTCCCTGTCCATCATCAACTCCCAGAGTTTACTCAAACTCATGTCCATTGAGTCGGTGATGCCATCCAACCATCTCATCCTCTGTCGTCCCCTTCACCCGCCTTCAATCTTTCCCAAGATCAGGGTCTTTTCAAATGAGTCAGCTCTTCACATCAGGTGGCCAAAGTATTGGAGTTTCAGCTTCAACATGAATATTCAGGACTGATTTCCTTTAGGATTGACTGGTTGGATCTCCTTGAAGTCATTAGGGAAATGTAAATTAAAGCCTTATGAGATATCTCTATACACCTATTAGAATGGAGGAAAAAACTGGCCATGCTGTGCTGCTGAAAATGTGAAGCAACTGGAGCTTCACATGTTGCTGGTGGTAATACAAAATGCTGCAGCCCTTTGGAAAACAGTTTGTTATATAACTTAAAAGGTAAACATACACTTAACATATAACCCAACAAATCACACTATTAGATATCTACCGAAGAGAAATGCAGACATAAGTTCATACCGAAATCTGCATATCCTAATGTGTATAACAGCTTTATTCATAAATACCCCCAAACTAGAAAATACCCAAATGTTCATCATCAGGTTAAACAAGCCGTGGTACACCCATACATGGAATACTACCCAGCAATAAAAATAGAACAAACTACTCAAAGCCAGATTTTTCAAAAGGTTTGCATACTATATAATACCATTGATACTACATTTTGGAAAAGGCATAAGTAAAATGACAGAAAACAGATCAGCAGTTGCCAGAGAAGGGTAGAGACAAGAAAGTGAATGCAAAAGAAGTTTGGGGGAACTTTTTGGAGTGGTGGAAACGCTCTATATGTTGATTGTGGTGGTAGTGACAGGACTATGCCTCTGTCAAAATTCACAGAATTGTAGTACAAGGTGAATTTTACTTTAAATTATATCACAATAAACTTGACTTTAAAAATTTTAAAAATTAACGAGATTCAACATTCAGCTAATAAGAATTTGAAATGAGGGAATGAAAATAAAAACAAAGAAGAAATCAACAATGAAAAATTTCAAGAAAATTTCCCATAACACAAGGGCAACAGTTTTCAGACTGAAGTTCCCACCCCATGCCTAATAAAATGAATGAAAATAAACCCATATCAAGACACATTATCATGAATGTTCTGATGACTGGAGACAAACAGAAGATTCTTCAAGCTTAAAAAGGGAAAAAGGGGTCACATCAGTAATCAGGATGGTCTCAGACATCTCAACTACAAATACAGAAATCTAGAAGGCAGTAAAACAATGTCTTTAAAATTTGGCAGGCGGGGCTTCTCTAGTGGCTCAGTGGTAAAGAATTTGTCTGCCAGGGCAGGAGACATAGGTTCAATCCCTGATCTGGGATGATCCCACATGTCATGGAGCAACTGAGCCCGGGGACCACAGCTACTGAGTTTGTGCTCTAGAACCTGAGCCCGGGGGCTGCGACTCCTGAACCTGCAAAGTGCAGTTAGTGAAGCCCACACACCCTAGAGCCCATACTCTGCAGTAAGAGAAACCGTGGTGATGAGAAGCCCACACATCACAACTAGAGAAAAGCCCAAGCAGCAACAAAGACCCAGCACAGCCATAAATAAATTTTAAAAACTTTTTTTTAATTGGCAGGAAAATAATTTCCAACCTACAATTAATGCTACACCCAGCAATACTATTATTCAAATGATAGGGCAAAACAAGCTAATTTCAGAAAGGCAGTATCTTAAAAAATGGACTTCCCATACACCTTCAGAAAGCTGATAGATATATGACTCCACCAAATCAAGAAAGATGTAGAGGGGGATGAAGAAATGAAAGGATCCAGTACAAGAGAAGAGGGGCAAGTCCCCTGAATGAGGGCAAAGAGAAATTTGCCCTGTTCCCCTCCAGCCCCTAAAACAAATTGGGGCAATTAGTACAGTTCAAAACAGGCTACAAGACCTTGGAGAAATGGAACTGACAGAATACTTGGTGTGTGGGGACATCTTGAGATAAACATAGACGATTAGCAAAGAGCCTGGGGTTGAACTGGTGATAAGCACAAAACAAAAACATATATTCCAAGGAAAAAGTCATATAGGAAAAATATTTGAGTTATTAATATATAAACACAGAAAACTGATCTAACTAAAATCACAGTGGAAATATGAGGAATAGGAAGGTGTGCTTCTGTGGAGGGAAAAGGAGGATGAAAGTGTCAAAATCAAGAAACACCTAAAACGGAAAACTGAATAAGTAGCAAAGCAAGCATGTAATTCAGGGAACAAAGCGGTCAATATCGTAGATCAATGTCAAGAGAAACAGCAGTTTTCTTTGGAGAGGAAAAAACTGACTCCTTAGGTGCATATGAAACTTTATCACTTATAGAAAAAAATAATACTAAGTCTTTGTTCTCCAGAAATTCACAGAAGTAGGTACCAACAGAGCGGGTTCAAAGCACTATCATAATACGAGTGTTTAGGCGGGAAAAATTAAGTCTACACAGTACCGTTTAACATATATCTTGCTTATTGTGTATCAGGCCCACAACAAAGTTAAGCGGATCACGAGAGGATTTACTGACTGCCGGGCCCACAGAGTGGATCACTCATCATCAGTGAGCAAGCTGAGGAAGCACACAAACATGAGTAAGCCAAGGTTCCTGGACACAAGCAGCTCAGATGGGGAAGTGGAAAATGACACTTAAATAGGTAATTATTACAGTTCAGGGCGGTAAGTGCAATCCTGACTCCAGGAAGACAGGCGGGCGGCGGGCTCTTTTCCTATGGGAGCGCTCACCTGTGCTTACGTAACCCGGGGAGGCTGGTGGGTGGGGAAAAAAGCCAGCTCAGGGTCCAGGCTCCATCCCCACACGTACCACATCCCGGCTCGGACCAACCCAGGGAGTGACTTTTTCCAGGATCTCATCCCGGCCAAAATTAGCCCCCTGACCCTTTCACGACTGAAACCAACTCACCGACTCGGCTGCCGCTTCCTGCTCGTCCACCGCCAGGGCCCACGAGTCTGTGGCCATGGTCACGGGCACAGACTGGGACGCAGGTGCTGGCGAACGAGGCGGCTTGTGCGGCGCGATCAGCAATCCGGGGCGGCTGCGACCCCGGGGAGGGGAAAGGCATTCGCTCCGGAGCTGGGGACCGGAAGCGGCGCGCCCCAGTGACGTCAGAGTCCGCGCCGGCCGGCGGGACCCTCGCCCTCTCTGGACTGGCGTTTTTGTCGCCTTCAAACCTCCACCTTTTCATTGCTCATAAGTTTCTTATCCAACGTCTAGAACCGTAGACTAAGATCGTACCTTAAAATGCCTGAGCTCCTGTCAACTGGCTCTCCAACCAAAGAGCAAAACCACACTCTTCTCCAGCGCAGTGATATATTAGATGCTCATATACACTGAATGTACCAATACACAAAACCATTACGGATAGTGAGCAAAATGAAGCAAGCAGATTTTTTTTTCCTTCGCTTTTTATGTCCAGGTGTTAGCTAGAGTATTGGGAATCAGCCGTCTCAAACACCGTTTGGTTAAAATTTTGTCCCACAGACTTATGTGGCAACAGCACGTACAGGAATCTAACCTTGAAAAATACTCAACGAAGGTGCTGGGGAGATGTGTTCCAGGTAGAATATCAGAGACAGAGCAAGTAGGTTTGTGGAACAAAAACAGTTTCTGGAATGATGACAGTAATCAGGGATGAAGTTGGTAGGAGGCTGATGAAAAAGGACCGCGTGGAGCAGCTTAATGAGCAAATGAGTTCATTCGAGGGAACACCCCATTCTGGTGTGACTTTTAGAGATAGCTTTGTCTGGGCTAGAATCCCAGCTCTCTCACATAATAAGCATTCTATGATTGGGAGAATTTTTTAAAAGGAAAAAAAAATGTATATATTGGGCTTTAAGAAGAGGTAAAAAGAAAAAAAGTAAAAAAAAAAAAAAGAAGAGGTAAAATAAGAAAAAAGGATAAAATAAGGATTAAGTGTGACAGTTTAACTGGGATCAAACAAGATCTCTTTCCTTGATACTTCACTAGAAGGAAGCTGGGCAATTTCTCTGCAACCTGAGAAATAAATCCCTACTTCGCTCACTTTGCCACTAATCCACCACAACAAATTAATTTCAAATAATAGTGAGCTCTATGTGGAATTTTACTTGTAAAGTGTAAGTAAAAGTGTTTTGAAAAGGGTAAAGCAGTTCCTGCAGTCCTCTTCTTGCCAGGATTCTTTTTCTCCAACACTTTTTACAGAGTTAATTTCGAGAAGATTCTTTTGGACCCTGCAGATGAGGATGTGCAGGAAGAAAAAGGCAAATGTGCATATGACAGGCCATGACCTACACCTCATTATGTGAGAAGCAACCCTGGGACTCTTTTGCCAAATTATATTGATCACAGGAGTAAAAGTGGTTAAAGAACCTTTAAGTTTAATGAGTTTAAAGGTAAATCATCAAAGGTCCAGGGCTGTATACAATAGAATTCACTTGTGCAAACAAAACAAACACGCTTGTACATACTATAGAAAATGTATAATACACACAGAAAAGTGGTATCAGTGGCTGCTTCTAGTGAGGGGCTCTAAAAGTCTGAGCTGGGAGGAAACTGCATACAGTTCATCCTTTGAAAGTTATTTTTCATGTGCGTGTTTTCCTTTTAAAATTGTATTTCAGACAAACAGGAAAGGGAATTCTGTAACAGAACAGTTAAGATTCAAATGAAGCCCCTGCATTGCCATCCCAAGAGGCAGACACTCTCCTGAATCTGAGTGCTTATCTTCTCCATAAATGCTTTTAGTGTGTATAGATTCTTCTTAAAAAAAACAAACTTAATAAGCCCCAGGAATCTAGACTTTGCTATGTCCACCTTTGTTAGGGGAAGCACACTGATTGAAACCGCCCACCCTGGCCAGGCACCATAGTAACTATTTGCATGAGTTGTTTTATGACCGGAGATCCTGATAAGGAATACGATTTTCTCCCACGCGAACTTAGGTAGCCTGCCTCCTCTGAAATCATGGTAAACACTCATCTCACGGTTCGAGGATTCAACATCACAAGGTTAACAGGCTTTTGCCCAGTGCCTGGTCTGTGACGAACGTTTGATTAAATACCAGTCGTTATTATTATTCCTGTTCCCCGCCGCCCAGGGAGACGGAGACACCTAAATATGGGGAAGAGGCTCTCACATCTACGCTCAGAGATACTCACATCGCGCACAGGCAGAGCGAGCCGAAAGCGGCCTAAGGCGCGTTCGCGGACCCGGCCAGCAGCCCCGGCCATCGCAGCTCAGCATGGCGGTTACCTCTGCCAACTGCCGCTCACAGCCAGAGCCTCATTGGCCAATGCATGGAAGCCGGTCCCGCCAGCCAATCAGAGGAGGGGGCAGCAAGCATTGCGCCTGCGCACCTGGGTGCTTAAGTTTCCTCTGCTGTTCAGTTCAGTCGCCCAGTCGTGTCCGACTCTTTGCGACCCCATGAATCACAGCACGCCAGGCCTCCCTGTCCATCACCAACTCTCGGAGTTTACTCAAACTCATGTCCATCGAGTCAGTGATGCCATCCAGCCGTCTCATCCTCTGTCGTCCCCTTCTCCTCCTGCCCCCGATCCCTCCCAGCATCAGGGTCTTTTCCAATGAGTCAACTCTTCGCATGAGGTGGCCAAAGTATTGGAGTTTCAGCTTGAGCATCAGTCCTTCCAATGAACACCCAGGACTGATCTCCTTTAGGATGGACTTATTGGATCTCCTTGCAGTCCAAGGGACTCTCAAGAGTCTTCTCCAACACCACAGTTCAAAAGCATCAATTCTTCCGCACTCAGCTTTCTTCACAGTCCAATTCTCACATCCGTACATGACCACTGGAAAAACCATAGCCTTGACTAGACGGACCTTTCCCAGAAGGTAATAAAGTAACTTTTGTAAGGTGGTTGTGAGATTCAGTGTCTACTGCATGCTAAATGCTTAATGGATGTTACGTGTGATGATGGTTATTAATACTTTACTGTCAAGTTAAGTGACTTTTTACTAGCTTTTGAGCTAGTCAACTATCTGTGAGATAGGTCAACTATCTGTGTTTGTTGTTTAGTTGCTAAGTCAACTGACTGGCTCTACTGCAACCCCTTGGACTGCAGCCCACAATGCTCCTTTGTCCATGGGATTTCCCAGGCAAAAATACTGGAGTGGGCTGCCATTTCCTTCTCCAGGGGATCTTCCTGACCCAGGGATTAAACACGGGTCTCCTGCATTACAGGCAGATTCTTTACCATTGAGCCATCTAGGAAGCCCTGGTAGCATTCTCTTTTACACAAAAATGTTGCAGGAAGCGGGATTCCTTCTAGGGCTGGAAAGGGGGATCTTGTCTAACAGTCGAAAATGAATTGTCTGAGAACACACATGTGCTTATGAGGTGAGAGACTTTATTGGGAAGGGGTGCCCCGGTGGGGAGCAGGGGATGCGAACCCAGAAGAACTGCTCTGCCAAGTCTCAGGTTTTATGGTGATGAGATTAAGTTCCAGGTTGTCTTTGGCCATTAATTCTGTCTCAGAGTCCTTTCTGGATGCACAGGCGTTATTCAGCCAAGATGGATGCCAGCAAGGATTCTGGGAGGTGGTAGGACAGGTGGTGTCTCCTTTTGACCTTTCCTGAATTCTTCTGGTTGGTGGGGGCTTTTTAGTTCCCTGGTCCTTACCTCCCTGGTCCTTACCAGGACCTCCTGTCGTAAAATACTCACTCAAATGGTTACTGCAGTTCCTGGCCAGGGTGGGTGGTTTCAGCCAATGTTTCCCTTAACAAAAAGGATAAAATTTTTCTGTAATATTGAGACCAAACAGGAGTCTGTGGGGCCATCCTGGGCACACAAGCCTTTGTAGGAACTAGGCTTCATTCAGCCTCCTTGACCCTCCCTGAATTCCAAAGGGTAGATTCAAACATTTGCTAATCAGGGAAGGGAAGGATTGTGGAAACAAGAGACTAGCAGTCTAGAACAATAGTGTAGTTTTTGAGTAAGGTCTTGGTTCCTCCTCAAGGACTATGCATACAGTATTTTTGAGTTCTCTGGCAGGAACTAAGTCCCTCCCCGCCCCCCCCCCCCAACTTCAGGCTGGGCAGGAGATTCTTGGAGCACCACCCTATTACCTCACCACCAACCAATCAGAAGGGAGTCACACACCCTGCAGCCCTCACCCCAAATTTTGTCATAAAAAACTCCCCCAGACCATCAGGAAGTTTGGGGTTTTTGAGCACCATCTACTTGTTCATCTTGCTTGTCCTTGCAGTAAACCTTTCTCTGCTCTAAATTCCCATGTTTTGAGATGTTTGGCCTCACTGTGCATTGGGCATGCAAACTTGTGTTCTCCTAATGTATCTTTAACCTAGGGATGACCAGCACAATTTTATACCTTTGTATTTAGATATACAAGATGATGTAGGTTAATATTGGAGATGATGCTGGGAAAGACTGAAGGCAGGAGAAGGGGATGACAGAGGATGATGAGATGGTTGGAAGGCATCACTGACTAGACATGAGTTTGAGCAAGCTCCAGGAGTTGGTGATGGACAGGGAAGCCTGGCATGCTGCAGTCCATGGGGTCTCAAAGAGTTGGTTGTGACTGAGCGACTGAACTGACTTGAGACTCACGGCGTGCGCGCAATACAGAGAAAGCGAGAGAGAGTCACTGAGTCACACCCTTGTGGAAGTCTGAATTACTTTTAAGGGGTATTTCTTCCTGGTTTCCTGGGTTTCCTTTGGCCAGTGATTTTGATTTGTCTGATTCACAATCCATATTTGGTGTATCTCAGGATCCTCCCCTGTGTGCCCATGCATCTCTTAGCCAAGANAATTAAGCAAACTATAGTCAAAGCTTTGGTTTTTCCAGCCTTCCTGTATGGATGTGAGAGGTGGACCATAAAGAAGACTGAGCGCTGAAGAACTGATGCTTTTGAGAGTTCCCTGGACAGCAAGGAGATCAAACCAGTCAATCCTAAAGAAAATCAACCTTGAATATTCATTGGAAGCTGATGCTGAAGCTCCAATACTATGACCACCTGATGTGAAGAGCTGACTCACTGGAATAGACCTTGATACTGGGAAAGATTAAGGGAAGGAGGAGAAGGGGGCGACAGAGAAT